GGGGGGGGCGAGGGGGGCGCCGCCCGGAGAGGTGGGCGACCTCTCCCTGCAGCGGCGGGGGGGACTGCTCGCGAGGGGCGGAGCTCGGACGCCGGCGCCGGGGGAGGGGCCTGCGGGGCGCGCGCTCACTCGCTCCCGCCGCAGTCGGGCGAGGAAGGCGGGAGGGGGCGGGGACAAACCTCGGAGAGCCTCCCTCGCCCCGCCCACTTCGGACCGTACCACTCCTTAGGGGGGAGATCAGTTATCAGCCTCGTCAACCCCCCGGCGCTCTCGCTCCGCCCCGCGGCATTGGCTTACCCTGTCCCTCTTTAAGGCTATTCCGACTCTTCCAAGTCTTGGCTTGAGGGGAAGGGGCGTTTTAGCTGTTGTATCTTCGCGTGTCCCCTGCAGCCATCCTCTAGCTTTTAATAACAATGGAACCGTCTGTAGTCTGGAAATGGGTATCGAGTCTAAGTGGGCAGGCGAGGGCGAAAGGGCCTGGGACGCCCAGGATTAGGTCTCTGGCGCGGCGCGGCAGGGCATGGCGTGTTCGCCGCCTGGGTGGGATTCGAGCACGCCCGGCTGGACTGGTGACCTGAGCTGCGCTTGTCCCCTCGCCTCGCCCACTAGCAACAGGCTGTGAGGCCGGGGGTCTCTGGGCGCTGATCCTCCTCCTGCTCGTCTGGGGCCGGCTTGCGAGCGGGAGGGCTGCGTCCTGCTAGTTCGTTCATGCCCTGCAGCGTGACAAGGCTCTGAGATTGCAATAAATATTGGCCCACGGCGTTCACAACAGACTTGTTTTGGATTTTTGCTTTTAGTCAAACCTGCAGAAAGTTGAGTGCGGTAGTTTTAGGTGAGAATAGTCTTAGTATAAAATCCGTAAATAGATTACATTTTAATTTGCCCCGTATCCTAGAGTTCGTAACCTCATTATCTTTTATTTTGTATACCGATAGGTACGCTAACAAGTTGTCAAAACAAGTACAGTATTTTTTATTGCTAATTTCACCTGCGAGTTAAGAAATAAGGTTGTGTGTAGATTCTGCTGGGTGGCTGAACTGGCAAGAAAAGAATAAACTAAATTAGAAGGAATTTGCTTCTTCCCTTATCTTGCGCTTTTTCTCCAGCAACCAGTGAAAGAGGGCCTCACGTGGAGGCCTTTTATGTGAGCTCCTTTCAGATACTGAAGGGAGAGATCTGAAGAGCTTTGACCTAAGAGGGAAGTGATTATTCCCAAGCCTCAGGGAAAAAAAAAAAAAATGAAATAGAATCTGCTAATAGCATCTTATCTCCACTTGTGGTATTTCCTTTGCTTCCTGCAGGTAGCATTTGCTAATCAGAACCCTGCCCTACATTAATACTCAGCATATTATTGAGGTCAATGCATATTTATGAGGAGCCCACTCTGCTTAGCTCTGATTCAGAGGCTGGGTTTAGAACAAAGAAAATGTATTCTTAGTGTTCATGGAACATCTCAGGGTAGGGCAGGACTCAAAGATAAATGTGTCTGTTTCAGTGATGCTCATGATTTAAAAGTCTGGTCTTTTAAAAGTAAAAAATGAGCACAAAGCCTTTTCAGGACTGTCATCAGTGGACATTTTTATTCCTTCCAGGTCCCAGGACCTCTGTGTAAAGGGTTTGATGAGCATGAGCACGAAAAAAAAAAAATTAAAGGGCTAAGGGCAACAAGGAAATAGTAAAATTTGACAATCAGCTTTCAAAGTTAGTGAATAGAAACCAGAGAAAATGCAGTCCCTTTCTGATTAACATTTTAGGTGTAATTTTATACAAAGCCAGAGCCAGTTCTTATTCAAAATCAATGCCCAGCAGCATGACAGTATTTGATTTATAAGCGGTCACCTTTATAATTTCTAAATTATTTACAAATAATAATTAACTGAAAGGAGTTCCAGAGGTTACCTCTGTTTTCTATAGAGCAATTTGTTTTATAGTGTGTGTCTCATTAACAACCCATCAGCAAAGCTGACAACATTAACATTCATACAGGAAATGACAACAGTCTTTCATTACATGATATAGTCAATAGCTTACTGTGTGTCCTTTCCTGGATTATATTACTGTGTCCATAACCAACTACCTTACTTCTGAAAAACCACTCATTCCTGATCGCTAGAAATCACACACATTATTATTGGCTCAGAACTTGATTGAAGCTGAGTATCTCACTAATTTGCATCAGCTTGATTTCAGAGCCCTCAGATCTTCTCGCCTTCCATTGTATGAGAAATGCAGTGTGCTAGCCCCTGGCAGGGAACTATGGTTCCACCAACATGACCTTGTCACAGAATCTGTAGTGGAATTCAGATGTCAGCAAGATCATTTAAAAACTTTCAGGTCCTATGACTACACTGCTGATGGACTTAGAAGGAACAAATCAAGGACAAATTCTCCAGTGATGGGGTTTTATCATCTTCCACAAACATACATAGAATGCATAACATATATGAGGCACTGAGACAGCGTGCTAGGTTGCAAAGACACTTGATGAAAGCTGACCAGCAATGCAACAAGATGGCTGACACATAATGCCAAATAGACAAGTGACAACAACTACACACATTGAGAGAAGGGGAGAATCCAAGAGCTGGAGAAACATTGTTGAGTTAGAAGTAGGGATGCAGCCTATAGAAATGAAAGGGAACCTCTTCCCAGGTTGGAATACTTGGCATACAGCAAATACTCATTAATGATAGGTTAAGGAGTGTTTAAGGTAATTGGGATGACAGAAGAGCATATGTGTAGGGAACAGAGACTGATTTGACTATAATAAAAGTTCTCATAGGGAATCTATGCATGGAGACTAAAGGTGCCAGATTTAGAGGAGTCTTAAATATCATGGTGTATTAGTCCATTTCTGTTGCTTATAACAGAAATATCAGAATCTGGATAATTTATAAAGAAACAATATTTATCGCTTTTGGAGTCTGGGAAGTCCAAAATCCAGGGAACACACGGTGAGGGCCTTTTCCTGGTGGTGACTATAGCAACATAGTATCACATGGTGAATACGGCAAGAGCAGATGGAAAGACTAACCTCCTCACTTGCTCTCCTTTTAAAACCATCAGAACCATGCCCATGATGACCATTAAACCATCAGTGGATTAATCTATTCACTAGGGCATGGTACTCACAATCTAATCACCTCTTGAAGCCCCCACCTTATATTTACCATAATAGGATTTCTGACCCTCTGAACACTGTCACAGTGGGGGTTAAGTTTCTAATATCTGTAACTTTGGGGGACACAATTCAACCCATAGCACATAGTAAGAATATTTTATTTTTTTCTAATGAACCTTATAAACAAATGTTGCTAGGAATCCCAATATGCCCACTTTTAAGCATTTTATGACATTTTTCTCTTGAATTTCCTCAACTTTACCAACTAAATTATGCTCTAACATAATGAACATTATGTGGCAAATGTTCATCATATTCCCAGTAACTGTGCCTTGTAGGCATTAATAGAAAAATATGTCCTAGGCTTTCCCTTTGATTTAAGATGGCTTGTGTTTTATTTAGTAATTGGAGAAGATAAAAGTGTGTGTAAACACACCTATTTTACTGTCATAGCAGGATGTGGATATCAGTAGAACTTGATTTGCACAAAATCAGAGGTGACTTTCAGGTACCCAGACTCAGCAGAATGATATTGAGATTACAATGTAAGAAATACAACAAAAGGGGCCGAGCCCGTGGCGCACTCGGGAGAGTGCGGCGCTGGGAGCGCAGCAGCGCTCCCGCGGCGGGTTCAGATCCTATATAGGGATGACCGGTGTGCTCACAGCGCTCACTGGCTGAGCGCGGTGTGGCCAGTCTCAAAAAGGACAAAAACAAAAGAAATACAACAAAAGGACCAAGAGGATGTCCTGCCTACTAGGGCTAAGCAGATTAGAAATCAGGTTTCCATACCAAGACAATTAAATGGGAGAAAGAATAGTCTTTTCAACAAATGACATTGGGACAACTGTATATCCACATGCCAAAGAATGAAGTTGGACCCCTACCTCATGCCATATACAAAAATTAACTCAAAATGAATCAA